TTCTACAGCTCGATCGCGTGCGTCCTGCGTCTTATTCGTTCATGTTCGAGTCTTTGATAATAATCTTTGCTTCTTTTATAGTTCAATCGGCGAAAGTGACAAGAAAGAAGCCTAGATTTGGTGCATTGCCTGTTCTTAATATGCCTCAAAGAAGTCACAAATTGTTGACACCGACACCGCGACCAGCAAGAACGATCATGAGAGACCTAGACGCACACATCAACACAAGTTGCTATGAAACATTTTCCGAATTTTGTAAGCGGGATACGTGTCTGAAATCTTTAAATGAGTGGACCTCTAAGATGTTTCCCGATAAAGCGGTATTCAAGAACAAAATTGAGCCCTATCTTCCGCCTGAGTTCGAAGTCATTGTGGACGATAGCCTTGTTTTCACCGTGAAAGTGTTGGGATGTTACTTGGTTGAAGACCATCCACTGTACCTCAGATTTCGTCGCACCGTACGAAACGTAACTTTGTCAGTCCTGGTCAAAGAGTTAAACGACTGCACTTTCTGTAAAGGTGTTCATGCTTCTGAAATTACGATCAAACTGTACCACCATTTATACCTATAGATTCTTCAAAGGAAGATGAGGGAGGACAGCAGTTTCCACAGAAGGGAAGTTGGAGATCCCATGGATGTTCGTTTTTAATATGCGACATAGATGACTCTGTTAGTACTGCTTGCTCTAAATACCAGACTTCAGCAAATAATTCCATAAAGGCCAAACACAATAGGCGACACCTGCACATGTCAAAGAACCTGTATCCAAAACAGACCCTGAAAGAGTAAAATTGACATTGCAAAACCAGAGATTAAAATGTGCGCAGCTTGAAAATGAGCTTAAAGAAATGAGGACAGAACTACTGAAATCAAACATTGAGGTTGATGGCAAATTAAATGATGACTTGATTAAAATCATGGATTCTTCAAGAGCCAAAATTACACCTTTTATGAACTTATCGTATTCCTGAAACTTTCACCTCTCATCTTTGTAAAAACTAAAATTTTTTTTGAATCGTTTTCGGGATTTTCCGAGGTTAAAATATCTTTAAAGCCAACGTTTCGACCAGTTTTAAGGGTCTTCTTCAGGTTCTTTCAAAGGTTGTCATTATAGCGGATTGTTTAGTCTTTTAGCTTGGTGACCGCACATGATGTTTCTTGATCATTATACGACGTTTAAACGATGTCAAATTGCGCGGGAAATGTAGTCTGAGGTCTCTCAAGTATTTCTACTCTTTCGATAATTCATTGCCTAGTACAGTCTTTTTTCATGATCAAGGAATGAGTTTAGGACTGGTTTCCATGCTTCAACGGATGTTCCGAAGAACGCCTGTTGATTGGCGTGGCGCTGTCCATTGGAAAGGCCGAACAATGCCGCACGCTTTTTATTTTTTGATTTTACTAATATATTCAGATAGGTCGTGATAGAAATAGGGTCATTTTTATTTTTTTGTTAAGCGCTCGCAGATGTCGGACTTATGAGTTTTTCTGTCGTTGTGGACTCGCTTTTTCTCGTTTAAAACACAATTTCGTCTCGTCGAAACAACGGGGTCAAAATTGTTAAAGACTCTCATTCTGCGATGTTTTTGTCGTAGTGACTCCATTCCTTCAAGAACTTTTCTTTGCCCTAATCCTCTCTCTGTTGCTACGATCTCTACGTTTCCCCAGTCAACAACCCGCACTTTGGCACTCAACGGTGTGTCGTGCTAGGCCTCCATCTTCTTTGCCCATTCATTTTTCGGCCGATAGAGTGTTTCCTTTATGAAGGTCCTCATTTGTTAGTCTCACTTTGTCCATGTGTTCTTTCTTTCTTGTTTGGAAACGGCGCCATGTTTTTGCTACATACACAGTATTCTGGCAGTTGCAAGTGTTAGGTTTAAACGGGTTTTTGTATATTTCGTTTACTCGTTACGTGTTTAATGGTACCTGCTAAAAGTTTTATAGGACGTTTCGTTCGCTGGTCAATACATTACGTAATTTAGCTCGCTACGTAGGGACTCTTTCCGTTTTCCGAAACGTGTTAGGTTTGAGCAGAGTTGAGGTTTCAGGTTTTCATTCGCGAGTGTATTCAGTGATTTTCTTGCGATCGGCTAAGAGCTTAACAGCTATCTACCAAAGGTTTTCTTGCTATCGTGCAAGCTGTTGTCTCCTCTAGGAGCTACACCAAAGTAATTTTCTGTACATTTATTTTAGGTTTGTTTTATCTTAGTTTCGTCACATAGTCCATTTATTCAGTTGGGCTTTTAGTTTTCTACATAGTCGTTTCTTTGTTTCTTGCTTTACGTTCTTGTAGCTCATTATACTTCGGTAGTTGTCGTCCTATTTCGTTTATAGTTCGAATCACGAAGTCACAAAGCTTTACCATCATATTTTCAAGCTATCGGCATAGTAGTCACACGTTGATTGTATTTACGTCTGGTGGATTAAACTTGGACTTTGGCATTATACGTGCGTTCGAATTCAGCTCCAACTCTATTTACGTTACACCAGTCGAGCTTTCCACAAGGGTAACCTCTCAAGGTTACAGCAAGGGATCCTATATACAAAGCATTTCAGCTTTTCACCAAGCGGCTCTTGACATGTGCGTTTAAACTCTTTTACTTTTCTTCCAGGCTTGAAAGCAACTCGAAAAGAGTGTCGGTAAGCAGTTCTTCTGAACTGCTCAGATAACCCTTTTAAATATGGTATGGTCACGACTCCACGATTTTCTTGTTCTTCCTTTTCTCTTTTGTCTACCTGTTGAAGTTTTTGTTCCATAAATCTTCTCACTGTTTCTCTGGGGTATCCGCTGGCTACAAACACGTCTTCGAAGTTGTGTAGTTCGTCTTCTCGGTGTTCTTCATCACATAAAGCCCTCGCTCTGTCAGAAAAACCTTTTATAATGGCTCTTTTCATACTTTCTGGGTGATCAAGAAGATAATGTACTCCGTCTATAACAAGAAGACTCACACAAACATAAATGTGAAGAGAAGGTCCAATCACCCAGAAAGAGGGGATTAAAGCAAAGGAAAGTTCTAGAAGGAATTGAGTCGCTACATGCGAGAAAAACATCGCGGAATGAGAGTCCTTATAACAATTTTGACCACGTTGAAGCATGGAAACCAGTCCTAAATTCATTCTTTGATCATGAAAAAAGACTGTAATAGGTAGTGAGTGAATTATCGCAAAAGTAGAAGTACTTGATAGACCTCAGATTACATTTCCCGCGCAATTTCACATCGTTTAAAAGTCGTATAATTATTACAGAACATCATGTGCGGTCACCAAGCTAAAAGGCTAAACAAACCGCCATATTGACAACATTAAACAACCTGAAGAAGACCAGTAAAACTGATCGAAACGTCGGTTTTAAAGATATTTTAACCACGGAAAATCCCGAAAACGATTCAAAAAAACTTTTATTTTTTTTATGAACTTATTTTGGCAAGAACAGCAGAAACTGTTTTCTAAGACACCAACAGGAGTACGATATCACCCGATGATGATAAAATTTTGCTTTTCATTAGCAGCCAAGTCCCCTTCTTGCTACGAAGAATTGAGAAACAGTAGAGTATTGGTTCTTCCTAGCCAAAGACGCTAAAGGGGCTATCGCAATGCCATAAAGCCAAAAAGGGGCATCCAGAGGGAGGTGATCGAGGAACTGAAGGATGAAACAAATAATTACATTGATTTTCAACGATACATAGTTCTCCTCTTTGACGAATGAAGGTGACGGCAAACCTTGTTTTTGATAACACCACTGGAGAACTCATTGGGTTTGTAGACCTTGGAGATCCTGAACTGAACTTTGCCACACTAAAGAAACCCAACATGATTGCTACATGTTCTAGCTTTCTTCATCAGAGGAATGCGCACAGAACTTAAGTTTTGTTTTTCATATTATGCTACCTCTGGTGTCACATCTGTTCAACTAATGTCACTGTTCTGGGAAGCAGTGTGTGTGCTGGAAACAAGAGGGGATGCAGTTTGTTCTTACGGAGCGTTTTTTCCAAGACCCTGTTG